TGTATAAGAGACAGGCCCAGGCCTCCCACCCCGTGATGAGTAGGCAGGCCTGGCTTAGCAGCATCGCTGGAGCCCCTTTGGCTGTGAGAAACTCCACCTGAGCCTGCCTCAGGCATGGGGGTCCCGCTGCCCCCCCAGATCCCCCCCTCGGCCCCGCTCCTCCCTGGTGCCATCAGGGAGAGGCTAGCAGGGCGTTGGGGCCGGGCAGTGATCCCAGCTGGTTTGTTCCCGTCTTTGACCTTGATGCCTGGCCTGGCTGGTGCCCAGCCCCGCTTGGGGACCCACACACCCCGCTGCCGGGCCCCTCGCTCCACCGGGGCTCGTCCTGCCTCCCCCGGCATCCAGGGGTGCGCACGTCTTCTCCCTGTTATTGCACTAATTGATCGAGCGCGGTCGCTGCTGGGTGAGTCAGGGTGCCGGCCGGGGCGGGCGTCCCGTCCCTCCGAGGGGATGCCGTCAGCTCTCCCCAGCGGGGCAGGATGTGAGGAATGGGGTGCGTGCCCGGGCCCTGCGGGGGAATGCCGGCTTTCCTGGCCCCTCTCCAAAACGGGGTCCCCCGAGGGCTTCCCGCTCCAGAGACAGGATTGCAGAGGCAGGGTGGAGAAGCTGCCCCTGTGCTGCTCGGCGTCCTCGTTGCCGTTCCCACAGGTGGATTTGCACAGGAGCGGGGTGGACGGAGAGGATGCCGATGCTGGGGTGACCCACGGGCACCACATGCCAGTGAGTCCAGGAGCATGCCTGGCTCCCTGCAGCAGGGCTTGGCACTGGCCCTCCTGTGCCACTGGTGCCAGGGCAGTTTGAAGCAGCTTATCTGCCCTGTTACTCGCGACATAGGACAGTCCCAGCAGGTCCCTGTCTTTGGTAGGCTCCTGCCTAGGGCAGTGTGGGGTCCATCTGTGTGCCAGCCCCACATCCCACCTTGTCCCACTCAAAGGAGAGGCCGGGCATTCTCCAGCTTGTGTCCTTTACACTAAAAAGGAGCCATTTCAGAGCTTTTCTGTCCATTTTGCTGTTGGCTCTCAGAGTCTGCTGCTTGAAATGCCTTCATGCCCCCCTTCTTTTGTCTGTGTTTTACCCCAGGAACCTGCTGGTCCTCCCTGGGGAGGTGGTGGTGGAGAGTCACAGAGGGGGAGCGGATGCTCAGCACTTCTGCCACTGTGTCCCCACCACTGGTTTTGGTTTGTTCCCCTTCAGTTATCAACCTGTCTGGGGTGAGACAAGCTGGAGCCCATGTTCCTTGCGCTCCCCCAGTTGCGGTTAGCCATCCCTCCCCTTCTCCCGGCGGCCTCTTCCAGTTGGGGCAGAGCCTGGGCCCGCAGAACCAGACAGGCAGGCAGCGGCGGGCAGAGCTGCCCGTGCTGCAAAAGCAGGGCGTGCAAAGCCTGGTTCCGCCTCGCACAGCTTTCCTCACGCTACTGCTGTGCGAAAAGTAGGGCACCAAGCACCGGCATGGACCATGGCTTTGGGTATTTGGGACTTAGAAACCCATCAGCTGGACTCCTGCAAGGGGCGAGCTGTGATTTGAAGGCTGGGAGGAGCCATGTGCTGGTGCAGCTGGAGATGCCCAGCAGTGGTTGTGTGGCACAAGGTGGTTTTTGGAGCCACAGAGGGTCTGAGCTGTGCTGACCACGTCCCCTGTCCCCGCAGAGTGGAGGCCTGCGGTGATGCTGGCGGCCATCGACTGTGCTGATGAGGCCAACCAGCAAGTGTGCAACGATTTTGGGATAACTGGCTTCCCCACGCTGAAGGTAAGGGTGGCATGCACTAGGTACTTGCCTGGTTTCACCCTGCTTTGTTATTTGGCCTGTCACTCTCTTGCTCAATCAAATCGACAGTGCTAGTGCACAAAAATATTCCTTTCGGGGCTTTTCAGGCTGCAGCTGTTTCATCGTTCCCCAAAACATAGCTGTAACTGGGCTGCAGTCGGTACCACTGCTGGGTGATGCAGCAGCAAGGAGTAGGGAGAGTCTGAAACCTGTATTGGGAACGCCTGGGGAAAGGCTGCTGGAGGACAGAGAGTGGTTGCAGGTGCAAGTTTTGGAGAACGGTGCAGGGAAGCTGTGGGAGGCTGCACGGGGCTCTTCTGGGAGCCTCCTGTGGTGGCTGGCGAGGTGCCATCCCTCCTCCTGGGCCCATGCCTGGCCCATTATCTGGGTCAATATGCCATTTTGCAGCATTTCCCACTGCAAACAGAGCCTCTCTCCAACACAAGCAGTAAAGCTGAAGCTCTCTAGGTGCAGGCAGCAAAACCCAGGATTGCCTTGAGACAGTACAAAAAATGGATAAGGGTTTTGTTAGACATGCCCTCAGTCCCAGTTTACAGGCTCAGCCCAAGGTGGAGTCAGATCTGGAGGTTTGCCAAGCAGGTTGGCCTGTGCCCCAGCCCTGCCCTGGGGTCTCACTGAGGACTTACTGTCCACGGGACGTTGACCCAAACATCTCCTGGGGCAGGGAAGCGTGCTGATGTGGCAGTCCTGAGAAGCCGCTTGCTTTGCATCCCCTGTCCCCGCTGAACACCTTTTGCAAACAGCTCGTGCTCCCAGCCCAGCCTGTAAAGCAAATACCTGTCTGATGCAACCTGATTTCGCTGCCCTGGCTGTACCGTGGGCACTGGAGCCACTGTTGAAGTCCAGGAGTGGGGAAAAAACCCTTTTCCTGCTTTGTGAGGCCTCTGGAGCAGGGAGACAGTGATTTTTCAGGACTGGGAAGGTCTTGGCTGCCTCCCTGGGACCCTTGGAGATATCTGCCAGTGCTCAGCTCTTGGCTGGACATGGCTCCAGCCCATGCCTGCATCCCTCCCCTCCAGGGATGCCCTGCAAGATGGGGGGCGGAGGACATGGCCAGCTGAGAGCCCCCTCTGTGGTGGCTGCTGTCAGTTGGCACACCATAATGTCACAGGGAAACTGTGGCAGAGCCACTCTCAGGGAAGCCTCTGCCTGCTGGGCTGCACTGCCTCTCTGTCTTACTCCAAACACTCTCAGCCCAGTTTCCTCTTGTGTTTTTTTTCCCCTTTCAGTTCTTCAGAGCTTTTAGCAAGAAGGCGGAGGATGCAATAAGGATTACTAGTGAGTATTCAGAGCCATGGGGTTTTTTTACCCTGGGTGCGAGCAGCCCTGCTGCCTGCACCTGCCATGCGTTGGGACCTTGGGGAGCCCTGGGGGGCAGCTCAGAGCAGCTGCCCTTGCCTCAGCCCCTGGGACAGGCTCCCCCAGGACTGACCAGTTGGCATGCTTGCAGATCCCAGTGCCACCGTCGAGGACCTGCGCCATGCCATCATCACCAACCTGGAGCAGAGCCAGGATGCCTGGCCACCTGCCTGTCCTCCACTGGAGCCAGCAAGGTAGGGGCGGCGTGATGGAGGGGTGTCTCTGGCGGCCTCCGTCCCACGGAGAGCAGGTTTCCAGATAAATCCTGATCCAAAAATGAGCATGGAGCAGCCACCACCTCCCAGAGAGACACAGATAACCTGGCCATGCTAATGCCACTTACGTGGCCTGGATAAGATGAGCCTTGTCCTTGCATTTCCTAACAAACCTGTTCATCAGCCTTAATTAGAGTAAGCAGCGCCTGGGCTGGGGATGTGGCAGTGCCATGCCATGCCGAGTGAGGCCACTGCCGGTGGCAACTTTGCCTGCCCCGAGAAAGGGTTTTCTTGATTCAGTACAAATTTGTTGGGTTCTGAGTTTTCTTTGCTAGATGCAGGCGGTTGCTTCGCTGTTGGGGAGGGAGCAGGATTTCCCAAAGCAATGGTCAAGCTGGGCACCCACTTCAGGTCTCTGGTGCCTCCATGTCCTAGCCAAAAACACAACAGCTCTGGTTCAAGTTCATTGCTTCTTTCCCCCTGGGCGAGCATGCAGCTCTCTCCTTCGCTGCCTTGCCTGTGCTTTGTTTTCTGCCTCCTTGGCTAACCCCAGTGGCTTTTCTCAAAGCCTGTGAACCAGAGCAGAAAATTGTGCTGGAAACTTCAGTGGGGAGGAATTGCCCTCTCGGTGGGGCTGAATGTGCACCAGTATCCCCTGCCAAATCCCCAGGGATAAGAGACAAGGTCCTTTTGGGCAGGAGGACAGAGCATCTGGCTGATGCTGAGACACCCGCTGCCATCCTTTTCTGTTTCTGCAGTGCGGAGGAGGTTCGCACCTTCTTCCAGAGGAACAAGGATCAGTACCTGGCGCTGATCTTTGAGAAGAACGACTCCTTTGTGGGCAGAGAGGTGGGTACAAGCTGCATTTATCCCCCGTTTGTCTTGAAGCCCGTGTCCCTGGTGCCCAGTGACTCCTGGGTACCTTTCACAGGGAAGTCCTCTCCCGGCAGCCTCCCCAGTGGGCTTGCATGCTGCTTTGCAGGTGCACAGTGTTATCCAGAGTGCTAAATAGCCCTGCTGCATCCCCCGTCGGGCTGGGGATCCTGCCACCACCCTCATCTGACCCTGGGGCTACTGGGCTTGCAGGTGGCGCTGGACATGCTGCAGTACGAGAACGTGGCGGTGAGGAGGGTGCTGAGCAGTGAGGAGGAGCTCGTGGAGAAGTTTGGTGTCACCACCTTCCCTTCTGGCTACCTGCTCCTCCGCAACGGCTCCTTCTCCCGCCTGCCCGTGTGAGTGTGGGACGCAGGGGGGGCCTGTGGGATGGTGAGGTGCCAGGTGAGGGAGGAAGGGTTTAAATGCCTTTAAACTGCAACGGGGGAGGTTCATACTGGACATTAGGAAAAAATTTTTCACAGAAAGAGTGATCAGAGAGTGGAATAGGCTGCCCAGGGAGGTGGTGGAGTCACCATCCCTGAATGTGTTTGATTCGTTTGGATGAGATGTTGGGGGATATGGTGTAGGGGAGAACTTGTAGACACAAGTCTTTTCCAACCTGAATGATTCTGTGATCTCTCTGCTCTCCTTTGTAATTGTGAGAAAGTTCATTAGGAAAGCGATGGTGGCTGGGTTGGGCAGGGGGCTGCTGGTGGGCACTGAACAGAGCTGCCAGCCCTGCCTGGAGCTGGCAGAAGGGAAAATGGCTTGTGACCAAGCCATCCCTCCACGACATCTGCCTGGAAATGGCACTCTGTGGCTCCCCAGGGCTCAGCTCTGCTCTGGATTGCACTGCTGGGGCAGGGGGAGACTATGGACCACCCCACACTCATTCCCCAGGTCCCAGTTGCTGGTCTGGCTAAGCCTTTGGTCTCCTTGGCTTCTTCCTGGGGGTCAGGGCCTGTTTGGGAGGGAGGAGGGTCTTTCTCACAGCTTCTCCTTCCTTGCAGACACATGGAGGCACGTTCCTTCTACACCTACTACCTGCGCACACTCTCGGGCATCACCCGCGGCTCCTACAAGCTGAATGCAACAGTCGACGCTTCCAACGAGACCAACACGTCCCAGCCGAAGCGAGCTGACCGGTCAGACATCCCCCTCCATTACTCTGGGGCTGGGGGAGGCCGGGGCTGGTGCAGGGAGGAGGTGCTATGGCTGGGGGAGGTGCCTTTCCCTTGGGAAAAACCCCTAGTGGTGGCTGGGTCCCGGTGCGGATTAACGGGTTGACGGACCGTCGTGTTGTGCTGCCCTCCCCAGCTCCAAGGTGTACATGGCTGACCTGGAGTCCACGCTGCACTACTCGCTGCGGGTGGAGGCTGCCCGCGCAGCCACGCTGTCAGGAGCCCAGCTGGCCGCCTTCAAGTGCTATGTGGCCACCCTGGTGAAGGTGAGGAGCTTTTGGTGTCAGGAGAGGAGCCGCCCGTGCCTCCGCATAGATATTTATAAGGTGAAATGCAAATGGCAGGTGCGGGCCCCTGCCTCCCAGCACTTGTGATGGTCTCGGATGTGAGCCCTGTGTCCTGGTCCTCAGTGCATCCCACAGCTTCCATGGGGCTGTTCCCATCCCGTGGATCTCCAAACTCAGCCCAGAGTCCCCACAGGTGCTGAGAGTGGGTGCTGCAGAGTTTCAGATGAGATGTGGCGTGCATCAGTGGGCAGAGCAGGGTTAGAACTTGCAGGAGGTGCCGAGGCAGTAGGTCTTTTCAGAAGAGATGCTGTCACCCGCTGGGTTGGTGGAGATGATCAGAGGGGTTTGTAACTCTGATTGCCTGACTTGGATGCTTGGCTTGGGGAGCTGATCTCTGCAGGCTCCTTTGATAGTGCAGGAAAGGGACTCCCACTCTGAGTCAGGCTCTGGAAGAAACAAATTTAAGGTCTCCTTTGTTCTCTGTTGGGCTTGCTGAAATCAGAGTGCAGGAGCTTTGAGCCAGCAGAAGCAGGGCAGTTTAATTTCTGTGTGCAATGGAGCACTGTTTGGCTGAGGTTTCCATCAGCGGGGTGGAAGAAGCTCTGTCTCTGTCTCCGTCCCAGCCCAGCTCTTTGGCAGATCTTCACCCAGGCATGCCCCCCTTCTTTTCTCCCTACTTGGTTACCCAGGGTCTCCTGCTTAGTTTGGACCTCACATAGCCCTCACTGATGTGCAAGACACCCTCACCTCCCACCTCTGCCTGCTCTCCTCAGCAAAGAGATCCAAACGTGAGCCACTGGTGCAACAAATCTTAAGTCCTCAGCTCAGAGCTTCATGTGGCTCTCCCTCTGTTTGCTCCCAGTTATCACCCTCACTATTTCTCCCTTTAATGAGATCCATAGGGTTACAGAAACAAATCCCCCACTGCACCAGCTCCTTGGCCAAGGGTGTGAGCTTGCCAGGGCAGTGGGGAGCAGCAGCGGTTTTATCTGATTACCCTTTAATTCTTCCTGCAAACCTTTCCCTTGCTGGCCAAGGATGAGCCATAGCACTGGAGCTGGCCAGGAGGTGAAGCTGCATCCCTGCCGTGGGCAGGAGGCACCAGGATGGTGGGTGGTGGGTGCTGGTGGGTGCCAGTGCTTCCCCAGGGGTGCCAAGCTGGTGCTGCCGTTGCTGTGCTCATCCACAGGACGGAGCAGCGTCCGCAGGGTTGCTGCTGTCCCCAGGACTGCTGCCAGCTTGGCAGGACTCCGGCTACAGGAGCTCAGCCAGCAGGTCCCAGCATTAACTGTTGCTTTCCCAAGAGGTATTTAAGGCATGGGAGGGGGGGTGGGGGGAAATCACGACATGAAAAGTGGTGGTGCCTGGAAAGCAGGGCATTACGCAGCTGGCTGAGGAGCCAGGGGAACAACTGCATTTTGCAGCAGAAACGTCAGGTCGCAGATGAATTCCCCTGCTAATGTGGGACTTTCTGTGCAATTCCCCACAGACCCTGGGGAGAACAGCTCAGACATAGCAAAACACTCCTTCCTTCCGCTTCCCTGTCACTTTTCCTGTGTGCTGCTGGCTTCATCCTCCCCGTGGGTCAGTCCCTCTGTCCATCCGTCCATCAGCAGCACACCCTGGCAGGCTGCCCCCTCTCCCCGCAGCGCCTGTGGTTTTAAACTGCTGCTGCTAATCGGCTTTGTGCTGACTTATGGTCAGAGCAGCTTTTTGCCTCTCTCAGACGGGGCTGAGGTTCAAAGCCTGAGTGTGCACTCGGGGCCCCCCCGCTCAGGGCCAGGCACCAAAACCTTGCTGGAACCGTGTTGCCCTGCAGCACACGCTGCCAGCGAAGATGCTGGTGCTCCGTTGCAGCGAGCCAGGGGTGCTAGTGGGCTGCTCTGCTGCTCCCAGGGTGGTGTGCGGGTTTCCTCACCCCTCTCCCCGCTCCGCAGTACTTCCCCGGGCGCCCCTGTGTGCAGACCTACCTGCAGAACCTGGACAGCTGGCTGAGGAACTGGACGGAGCCTGAGCTGCCCCGCAGCGCCTTGAAGGAGGCCATGAAGAATAACAGAGATGTAAGGCACCTGTGGGGACCCCAGCCCCCTCTCTCCTCTCCTTACCCCTGCCCTTTTCCGCCCACCCCACGTTATCTGCCAGCTTCATCACATCGTGTTCGTCTGTCCTCCAGGCCTCTCACCCCGCTGTGCTCCCCACCAACGTGACTTGGGTGGGCTGCCAGGGCAGCGAACCCCACTTCCGCGGGTACCCCTGCGGGCTCTGGACCATCTTCCACCTGCTGACCATCCAGGCTGCCCAGAGCGGCCCTGACAAAGGTATCGGCCCCCCTGGCGGGGTTCAAGTCTCTGGGAAGGGGCGTCCAGACAGGCTGTGGCACGGGCAGGGATGCTGCCTGTGGGCAAAGGCTTGTCTTGCCCTGAGGCAGGTCTGCGGGGAGGGCACGAGCCACAGTCGGGGTGTGAGGCTGCCACCTCGGCTGTGGAGGTGGCACTGCGGGGTCTGGACTCGCCCTCCTGCCCCCCTCCCATCCTCTGCCTTCCCCCAGAGCTGCCACTGGAGGTGCTGAGCACCATGCGCTGCTACGTCCGCCACTTCTTCGGCTGCCAGGAGTGTGCCCAGCACTTCGAGGCCATGGCAGCTGAGTCCATGGACCGGGTGACAGGCCGGGAGGAGGCCGTCCTCTGGCTCTGGTCCCACCACAACGAGGTCAACGCTCGCCTGGCGGGTAAGGGGAACCACGGGGAGGGAAGCCAGGGGAAAACAGGAAGCAGGTGGGAGAAGCATCTCTCCTCCTGGATGGAGTTGGCAAAGAGCTGCATTAGGGTGCAGCAGTGGGGACATCCCGTGGTTGTCATCCTCCATCACAGGGGACAGCAGCTGGTTGCGCAGCATCAGACTGCCCTGGAGATGCAGTTGGGAAGCATCCCGTGGGGAGCACCCCAAAACACCACGTGCCCCTGGAGGCATTCCTGCTGAAATGGCCCCTCCAAACGTCCCCATCCCCAACTGCTGGATGCTTCGGGGTGTTTATACCAGTACAGGGGGATGTCCCCTCTAACCCCCTCACTGGCTCTGGTCCTTGCAGGAGGTGACACAGAGGACCCCAATTTCCCCAAGCTGCAGTGGCCTCCGCCAGACATGTGTCCCCAGTGCCACAGGGAGGAGCGGGGGGTGCACGCGTGGGACCAGCTGACTGTACTCACCTTCCTCAAGGCACATTTCTCCCCGGCCAACATCTACCTGGACTTTGCCGAGGTTGACCCCATCCCTGTGGCCAGGGAAGGGACAGGCACCAGGCTGGGCACTGAGGGCCCACGAGTGGAGAGGGAGAAGAAGGAGGAAGAGGAGGAAAAGGAGACGGAGAGTGAGATGAGAGCTCCGGGGCGACCAAGCTCCCCCGAGCCACGGCGCCCCAGCATTGTGAGGCTGAACCCCAAGCTGCGGGAGGTGGGCGAGGACATCGTGGACCTGGACTCCTTCAGTGAGCAGCACTTCAAGAGCCAAGCGCTGCGAGTGGTGGCCGGCCGGCGACGGCGACTCAGCAAGCGAGACACCATCGCCCTGGACCGGGCTGCTGGGGTGGGCCGGGAGCACCGGCTGGCTCCCGCTGTCCTGGTCCAGGAGAAAGAGGAGGAGGCCAGGGAGGGCATGCGGAGGAGCCCCTGGCTACGAGTGCTGGGCTTGGGCTTCTCCCGCCTGGACATCAGCCTCTGCATCGCCCTCTATTTCCTCTCTTCCATGTGCCTCCTGGGCATGTACACCTTCTTCCGCCTCCGCACTCGTGCCCGGAAAGGCCGTCCTGGCTTCCCCATGGCCTAAGAGCGGCTGTGGGGGCCGGGGGCTTCCCCCAGGGTGGGTGGGCTGCTGAGCCAGGCAAAACGCCTGGAACAGCGTTTTGTTTCCCAGTGCAAAGGGGTTTGGTGCGTCCCCACCAGGGGCTGCCCCGCTTACAGCAGTTGCCTCACCCAGGGTGAGGGATGGAGGGTAGAGGGCTGGTTTTGGGGGGAAGGAGGTGTCGGACCATCCCCCTCTCAGGTTGTGGTGTCACATTTTTGGATGCCGACAGCGGTTTGTGTCTCGGTGCCCGTGGGAGTTCCGTGGTGCTAGGCTGGTTTCAAACTGGGAAGCCCAGCCCCATGCTGGGGAGCAGCCCTTTGGGATCAAACCACTAGTGGGGCCAGAAGGGTGGGGGATTAGCCCCCCAAAAGCAGGCACTGCTGAGTGGGGGGGTGGCAGTTGTGGGTTCAGCTGCATTTTATGTATGTCCCCTTTTGAGATGTCAACCAGGGCCCCCCCACCTTTCCTTGCCCCCTCTCTGTGCTCTTCCTCGTTCTCTGCTTGTCTTAGTGGAATAAATTATTTTTGCCGATGCCAGCCCCGCTGCGTTGGCTGGTCCCTGCCATGCCCTTGCCCTGCCACACTGGGGCAGCTCTCCCCCTCCCTGCCATTCCCCCACCATAGGCTGTCTCTGCTCCGGCCTCCCACATCACCCCCAGGAAGAGCACTGGCTTGGTTTAAATCTTCTAAATATTTTAAATTATTATTGTACATTTTCTCCTGCTTCTTTCTTCTGGATGCACCTGTGGCCAGCTGCCCCCCATACAGCCAGTGTGTCCTTGTGGATGGGATGGCTTGGGGTTTGTCCTCAAGCAGGGTGATGGGGAGGGAGCTGGGCGGGGGGACCACAAAGCTGCTGAAAAAAGTTGACATGAGCCGTGGTGCTGCAGTTCAGTGGGGGCTGTGGCCCTGGTCCAGAGCAGGGAGACAGGCGTGAGCATCCCCCCTTGGGGCCTGGGACTTCCTCAGGCACGGGCCCCCTGCACCTGTCCCCAGTTCTGTCTGCCCTTTTATCCTTGTTAGGAATCATTAAGGAAAATGGTTGTTTTCCAGAGCCAAGGCCGGGGCCATCTGCTCTCCTGGCGCTGCCTAAATCCCCCTGTAACAAATTCATTGGGATTACGCTGCCCTCCCCTAATCCCAGGCCTTCCCCCACACACGGGGGATTTAAAAGGATTAGAGCCCGGCCGATAATAAACTTTATTAAGGGGGAGGGGGGGTGTCAATCCGATTTGGAGCCTTTTTCTTGATATCTTCACTTTGCCCAGGTGGGAGGCAAGGACTGGTGGGATGGGGAAGGAAGGTGGGCAGCTCTGCTGCTGCCCAGGCAGTGGGGGCTCTGGCTCCTCCAGTCCTTCCTCTCTCACCTGACCCTGAAATAAATTTTCTTGCTCCATCTTTTCTTCTTCTTTGGTGTCTGTGCATGGTCACACCTCCACAGGACGTGGGGCTGGCACCCCTGACCTGCCACTGCTGGCCCACTTGGCCTTGGCCACATCCCTTAGCTGGGCCCTCGGTGACCTCCCCCCCCCCCCCATG